CCGCCACAAGCCCCAACTCCCCCGCGCCCCTCCCCCTTTCCACCCAAGTCAGCACGTTATGTTGACCCCCCCCCACACACACACAAATGCCAGTCCCCCGCCGGCGCCACCCACGATGGCGCCCTCGTGAAGATTTGCTGACGCCGTGAAGTGGCCATTCCTAGTGAAGTTCATAATCGCAATGGTCTCTGGGGCGGCCGTGTCTAAGGGCTTGGACAGGTCCCGGCCTTTGTAAATTATGGGGTCTGGGAAGTTGCGGTTGATGTCGATGTTTTTGCTGCGTTTTGAGGGTTATTGGGGCAAAGGTAGAGGCAACTGTAAGGACAAGGAGTTGGAATTCCCACGTTCGTTCGTTTTGCAACATTGCATACTTTGCAGGAACAGGGGTGTCCGTGAAGCAGGCAGGGAGGCATGGCGTCCAGACTCTCGTAGCACGGCTTTCAGGGGCAGGCGGCAGCATTTGAAGCGAGAATCTGGTGCGCTTTTCTGCTGCGGCGGCGGCGCGGCGCCTGGCGCCCATGCTGCAGCGGCCCATGGACCTGTTGGCTCGGCGGTGCAGTGCGAAGCCGTCAGGGTTGAGGGTCGGGATGATGAAGAGGTGCGCGTCCCGCAGGAGGCGCGTGGCGCGCGCGTCCTTGCCGTTGTTGGCGCACAGCCACTCCGCCAGCATCGGCAGCAGCATCCTGGAGGCCCGTCGCGGTGGGTTGGCAGGGGTGTGAGGAATGCATGACACTGAAAGATGGTTGATGGGCACGGTCGGCGCGGCAAAACAGCCTGCTTTGCAACCCATCGCCATGAAGCCGGCCGATCTGCTTAGCTCAACGCAGCGCGGGTGTCGCGACGCCACCTGAAACTTTCTGGAGCTTTGCCCGCTGGTTCTTGCTCATCAAGAACTGTCTGCCGGCCCTGCCACCCTCACGCACCTGCCGCTGGGCTCGTCGCCGTGCATGTTCTACAAACGAGTGTGGAAACACAGTGGCAGACGGAAAGGTGCACTGGTGAGGGCTGCACGCCAAAGTCGCTCCCAGGTTGCGTGTGTGCATGGATAACCCGACCGCAATCAGCAAACTCCCGCACGCATGGGCGCTCCACGCCCCGTGCGGCTGCGGCGTGCCAAACACCTCAGCGCTACCATGTCGGGCGCAGCTGCGTGTCAAGGCGTGCCCTCACCGCGATGTATTTAAACTTGGGCTCCGCCTCCTCAACGCCAGGCTTGTCGGAAAGCTCTATCCCCCAGAGATCCAGCCCCTGCACACTTTTGCCGATGCTGCGAGCGCCAGGCGCGGGAAGGGCGGCCGCGCGCCCGACTCAGGCGCTGTGCGGCGGCAGCCCCAGGCCCGCGCCCGGGCTCGCGCAGGGGCCAGTGCCAGGGAGCGCCCTCGCCTCCCCTGCTGGGCGCCAGTTCTTCCAAACATCCAAAATCCAGGGTCTGCAAGTCGGCTCGCCCCACTTTCCTTGACCGCCCCCTGCCCCTCCCTCCCCGCCCCTGCGCCCCCCTCGTCGACTTCTGATGCAGCTCTGCCAGGCCACAATATAACTTTCGTGTCCCACCTGAACTTCCGGGATATGCTGGAGCATTTGTCCACAAACTCGTCTATCCAAGCGGCCTGCCAGGAGCCGTGGGGGCGACGAGGTCGGCGACGCCAAACATGCGCAAGCTCTGCGGCCGCAACCCCCGCTGCATCGGGGCCAGCGACTGCTGCCCTGGAGCAAGCAGAGCCAGCCCTGTGGGACTCCAGGCACGGGTGTGGGTGCGTTGCCGGGGCGGCAGCAGCAAGCGCGCGGCAACCATGCCAGCGGCGTTGCGGTGGCCGCCCCCCCCCCAAAACGCCCGCCCTACGTGGCCCCTACCCACCAGCTGCTCGTTTGACAGGTAGGTTTTGAGCAGCTGATCCGACAGCCGGCCCCGACTGCCTGTGTCGACCGCCTGTATCGGCGAGATGGGGACAAGGCAACTGCTGGGTTCCGGCCGGCTGTGTGCCTCTGCAGAGACAGAAGGGGCACCATGGCGCCTGACATGGCCGATGGCCTGCCCCTCTGCTGTGTTGCAGGAAAAAGCGGGAGCGGCCCCGGCCACAGCGGCAAACTTTGGCGATGCGGCGGCCCAAGCGCGGCCGCGAACCACCCGGCTGTCGCACACGGTTCCGTGTCACGACGGTGGCTTTTTCGCAAGCGCCGCACCTGCTTCTGCGCCGCTGCGGTCCCCGCTGCAGCTAGCAGGACCAGCCATGCCACCACCAGCGACAGCTTACATCGCGAGTCTTTATATGTTTTCATCATTGGCTTTTGCTTGGGACTACTGCTGGCAGATCGTTGCACCGAGTGTGTATGGTGTCCAAATGCCAACAAAGCGAGCCTAAGTTCTATTTGACCGATTATCGAGCCAATGCGTGCACCATGTGACAAACCTAAGCAGGTGTCGAGGCTTGGTCTCTTACTACGTGACAGCTGCCCGTCACCTTCGTTGCACCATCATGGAGGTGACAATACACGAAGCTGCTCAGATAAATGCACTCAGTTTAGATTACTGATCACATGTTTCGGTGACAACGTGTGCTGCGCACGGCGAAAACGGCCCGACCTGGGCGTCCTTGGGCCCTCCTCGCCGTTGAATTGTGCGGGGACTTTCCAGATCCATTATTACCACACTTAAATAGTTTTGCGCCCCACTAGCAGCTGCGGCAACAAGAGTACTGCGTGGGAGTACTCAACTCAATCGAAATCGCCGTCGCGCCGCGGGTCGCCAGCCCAACATGGCCTTTAACAAGGCAGCAGCTGCGCTGATACTCTTTGCAGTCTTGCTGTGCAGTGCCAGCCCCTGTGCGGCGGAGCAGGTGCGCGGCTGTCTGCACAATCACACTAGCCAACAGCGAAACAGCTGTGCCCAAATCATGAGGGTGTTCCAGACACTACGATTCTGAGGTGATGTACATTTCACGATCATCATGCATACAGGGGGCTCAGGCATGATTTGTGCCCCCCAGTCCCTCAGTCCCCGCGATTTTGCACGCCTCGTGCCGCCACCCCACCCTCCCACTTCAACCGCCAGGCGCCCGATGTGGCCGCAAGCCAGGCCGACGGGGCGCCCAGCAGGCGCCTGGCCAATGCGCTACCAAAGGCGTACCTTTCTAATGCTCAGCTGGTGAGCGCGGTGCAAAGGCCGCCCCTTGCCTGGCCACGCCCGCGATCCATTCCCTGTGCTGTGCTTTTGCTGGTTTGCTGCACCCACTCCTCAACAGCTGATACCCAGCCCCTGTCCGGCCGCGTTTGTCGCTCTCAATTGACCAGGGCGCTTGGATGGACGAGTTTGTTGGCCGCTGCAAGATTGGCCGCAAGTTCAGGTGGGGCCGCAGGCTGCTGCGGTACACCAATCCGCAGCTGCTGTCGTGTTGTTCAGGGCCCGACGCCACAGCCGCCAGTCACGGCGGCCACTCCTTTACAAAAAGCTAGAGCCGAGCGCCCCTGAAACATCACCCGTCTGCGACCCCCGCGCCCACTCGTGTACGCACCCACGCATGCATGCACGCTCACACGCACTTGCAACCACGCGCGCATGCCGACGCGCTGACGCACTCATGTGCACGCACACGCTCGCGAGCCCAGCGTCGGCAAGAGCGTGAACGGCGTGGAGTTCTTTGGTGTCGAGGTCTCAGACAAGCCGGGGGTGGAGGAGGCGGAGCCATACTACAAGTACATCGGCAACATGCACGGCAACGAGGTCAGCGGCAGGTGAGCGGACAGGCAGGCGGCCGGTCGTTGCAGGGGTAGCGCTCAATTGTACACGTTGGAGCTGCCATACAGATCTGCATCCCAGCCGCTGCGAGACGGTGAGTCGGCGGGCTTTGTCTGCGGCGGCGGCAGGGTCGGGGGTGGCGAGTGTGAGCATCCCCGGCTGCTTGGCGAGCCCTTCGCACGGCCTGCGGTGGTGCAGCCCTCCCCGCCTCACGGCCCCCGCCGCACCCTGTTGCAGGATGCTGCTGCCGATGCTGGCGGAGTGGCTTTGCGCCAACAACGGCAAGGACGCGCGCGCAACGCGAATGGTCCGGGACATGCACCTCTTCCTCATCCCCACCATGAACCCCGACGGCTTCGATGCTCGCCAGCGAGAGAACGCGTGAGCAACCCTGCGGCCCCGCCCGCCGCCCCCTTCGCCGCAGCAGCCAGCCGCGCTGCAGAACCTCCGCACCGCCACGCAGCTCTCACCAGAGCGCTCCTCGCGCGGCCTTCCCACGAATCAAGTGCTGCGGCCACCTTATGTCGCAATCCATAGCACAGCGCCTTGCCGCCCCGCCACCTCCTCTCATCCCCACCAGCTCCACCCGTGTCCGCGATTCCCCCACTTGACCCAACCGACCTCTTGACCCTATTCCTTCACTCTTTTCGACAACCCCTCATCAGCCACGGCGCCGACCTCAACCGCAACTTCCCGGACCCAGTCCTGGACCGCGGCAGCGACCTGCGCAAGGCCACGGCCGCCACGGAGCCCGAGGTGGCCCAGATCATGGACTTCATCCTCAGCCGCACCTGGTCGGCCTCGGCCAACCTGCACGAGGGGTCCGTGGTGCGTTGGGCGCGTCAACGCGGGGTGCCTTCTGTGAAGTTTGTGACGCTGGGCTTGGCGGGGTGGATTATGCTCTCTTGCAAGCGCGGATTGCGGCACACCTGGGGTCTGGAATATGAGGAGGCGCTGCTCAAACCAGTGTATTACACCCCTGCTGTCTTGAGGGCGCATCGGACATCGACGCCAGGCATTAAATTGATCACGCGGCAACCGAACCATCGACCCCCCACCTTCCCAACCGCTGCCAAAGGTGGTCAACTACCCCTACGATGGTTACACCAGCCCCGGCCGCTCCGGTACCGCCCACCTGACGCCTGACGACGCGACCTTCAAATTCCTGGCCAGGACCTACGCTGACAAGAACCCCCTCATGGCAGCCTCCAGGGTGGGTTTTGGGGCCTGGGTTGTGTGAGGCAGCTGCCGTGCAGCTGCGGGGCTGCCGAGCGCCCGCGGCACTTTGGCGCTTTTGGGACTGAGTTTGTCGTGACGGCAGACTCACGTGGATTGGACTGCTACGTTGCGGCCGCAGGAATTCCCTGGGGGCATTACTAATGGCGCCCAGTGGTATGACATCTACGGCGGCATGCAGGTGGAGGGGGGAGAGAGGGCGAAGAGCCAGGAGGCGGGGGCTAGGGCGCGGCGGGGCTGCCGCAGAATGGCGCCCAATTTTGGCCTGTTGTGCCCGGATGGTGCTGCGGGGACCCAATCGGGGCCACCAAACACATCAAGGCGCGCTGCGTGCGCTGCATGTTCTGGTCCTTTTGGCCTTACACAATCATCCACAATCAAATGCCACTTGCAACTGCACCATCCCACCTGCGATCGCACCAAAGTACTGGAAGTGGCCAGAAATACTGCAAATTGGCACGCCACACAATTCGTGGCACCATCAACCGCCCAACTGCCCAGCCAGGCTGCCTGCACCATCGCCCATTCAACCACCCCCCCCCCCCGCCATCCCGCAGGACTGGAACTATGTGGTGGCCGGCTGCATGGAGGTGACCCTCGAGGTGTCCGCAGAGAAGTTCGTGCCGGCCTCCGGCCTCAAGGCCATCTGGGACCAGAACCGCGACTCCCTCATCGCCATGCCGCTCGCCGCGGCACTCGGAGGTGGGCGCTGATGCGCGCGCCGTGCTTGCCTGGCCGCGTGCCGCCCCACGACCCACCGGCCCCGAGTGCTCGCGCGTGCGAAGCCGGCGTGCGCTCCCTTCTCAGAAAATGCACGTGGGGACCAAAGATCATCTAGTGACTCACCCATCCCAATTGCGCAAATTCCGTTCTCCCGCCCCGACAGGCGTCCGCGGCCGCGTGACGGCGGCCGGCAGCGGCGCCCCCCTGGCTGCCACCCTGGCCGTCAAGAGCTCCGATGCCAACAGCGACGCCCCGGTCCCCTTTTACGCCAGCAAGAACTTCGGCTTCTTTGCTCGGCCCCTGGTCCCCGGCACGCACACCCTGGTCGTTGCCGTGGACGGTTACGCCACGGCAGAGGCGGACGTCACGGTGCCGACAGACGGCAGCGGCGTCGTCAAGAACTTTGTGCTGAAGCCGCTGAAGTGACGCGGGGGACGCCCCGCGTGATGCACGCGCAAAGCACGCTCACTCTGCAACAGGTGTGGTGGGGGCCACTCCTGCATGGGGAGAGGGGCGTTTTGCTTGGATGTGTGCGATTGCATGTGCCTACGCGTGTCTGGAGTGCATGCAGGATGCGCAAGGGGAGCTGGTGATTGTCAATGTCGTGTCACTTTCGCTGTTTTGCTGGGCCCCGGCCTGACGCATGTCACCGCTCTTACCCTCAACATGCGCAGTGACAAGGCCGCAACAGCCGCTACGATGGTGCACGCAGGTTACAAATGAAATCGAGACATTACAAATTAACACACACCTCGTCAATAGGACGCATGTGATGGTCGTCACTCAATCAGGCGCATGTGATTTCATCCTGGTTTGCTGCAGGGGTTTTACCCACATCTACCATGATAGGTGACAAAGCCTTTGTCATGGGACAAAGCATGAATATCTCGCACCCGCCGCAAAGGCGGGTTTCATGCTGCATTGCGCACGCGCCGCGTGACTGCGCTCGCCGCCCGATGTCCCTTCGTGCAGTACACGCACATGCAAGTTGGCCCGTTTCGTGGCGGGGCGACACACCCCGCCAAAGCTGTTGAGGCCCCCCTGAACGCATGCATGCTGCGATCTGCACTGACTGCATTGCCTGTGCAGTGGCACACATTGCTCCTGTGGCGGTGGGTCCTGCACAATATGCGTGGGGTGCTGCAGGTGCTCTGCAAATTACACAGGATCGCCCCTGTCAAGCCAAGCGCCTGCACCAGCGGCGCAATGTTAGAGCCATCCCTGTCCCGTGGGGCTGGGCTGGCCTAACATGCGATGATACGTAACTAAATAATGAAGTTAACGGCAGGGCACATGCAGTAATGAAGTGAGGGATGTTTGGGTGAGTGGATTTAAAGCTGCGGGTGCGCTCAGCCAGAGAGTGTGAAGGCAGCCAGCAGTGTGCAGGAAGAACCGATCGTGCAGGCGAGCCTGCGACGAGCAGAAATTTGGGGAGCAGCCAGCCAGCCTCCCCCCGAGGCGCATCGACGAGGCGCCTTGTCAGACCATGGGGATGAGCACAAAATCTCGCGTCACCCCTGTGCCACCTGCCGGGACAGTGACGGCTGATGAGACAGGCGTGTAGCCGGTCATTGCGGCAGTTAGTGTATATGTCCCCGGAGCTAAGGGCCGCGCGTAGAAGCCAAAGCTACTACTGGCATAGAAGGGGACCGGGTCGCCGGCGCCGTTAGTGGTCTCTACTGTCAGCGTGGCGGCGAGAGGCGTGCCAGTGTCGGCAGATGTCACACGCCCTCTGACGCCTGGTGGGTGGGTGGGGGC